GGAACAAGAGAGAGGGAGGGAGAGGAGTGGAGAGGACCAGGGACGATGGCCAAAAGATCTATTTGAGATCAGAAACATCGATTGGTGGGTGCTTTCCTTTCTTCATGTACTCTTCAAGATCCCTGTCCAATTCTTCCCTCGTTATCGTTGCTCGCTTATTGCTGAACTGCGGGGCAATCCATCTGAAACTACGATTGTTCCGGTAACGAGGTGCACGATTTCTTGCAATCATGCTCCGTGGACGCCACAGATTGCTGCTGCCACTGGAGCTATTTCTGACGAAGCGTGTATTTCTATTCGAGTATCGTAACGATCCAAACGCACGAGGTCTGAAACGCGATAATCAATAACAAACTTTTTGAAAAAATCTTTAAAAAACTCCACAAGTGTCTTTTTTTACCCATCTTGTGGAAAAAACAGTCCACTCCTGGGGAAAACAATTCCTGAACTGACAAAATGGAATGCTTTCAGGTGTTATAAACGGCTAGAAACACTAAGACCGCTGAGTAAGTCTGAAACCGAAAACTTCTACAGTGCTATCCGCTATAACAATGCTCGAATGTTGGAATGCATCTCATTAAATACCGAAACTCCATAATCAAAGTTCGGGTAGTTGAAATCACTCGCCCCCTATTGCTTTTCCAAGCGTTCTTCTTTCTAAACTGGTCTAAAAGATCAACTACGGCTAGAGGACACAACTCTTCTCGATCCTGCTGGGGATATAACTCTTCTCGATCCAACCAAATCTGGTTTCTCGTGTAAAACCCTGGGAATTCACCCCATGTCTGACTACTTTTTAAGCACACTGGCTGAAACTTTGAACCTCTTGAGCAGCTGGGAAAAATGTCGTGCCTTAAAGGTTTCAGATAATTGTGAGTGGAAGCACATATCGATAGTAGTGTCAGCAAAAATCAAGGTATAAAATGCAACAACACGTGTGTTAAACACAATTAACAAGGATCGATATGGGCCCTGAATCATACATGCATGCACGCATGGAGACATACCAGGACGCCTGATACGAAAAGTCAGAAACTCTCTCCGTTTTTTATGAGTTTTTTGCAGCAATGCAATGCGAAAAACACATATTGACGAGAGGTTGTCTGTGTGTGTGTGTGTG